CAAGGTGTTTTCCTCGCAGGACTGATCGAATCCCCAAGTGTCCCCGAGATCGGCTAGCGTTACGTTGGGATGATGGTTGTTCATTGGTTGTTTTTATACATTCATGACGTAAACGGAGCAAACGGAGCAAACTTGGTATTGTTGTTGTTTGGCCCAGCGGAGTTTGATCCCTTTCACGATTTCGACGACGTCACGCTCCGACGGGGGTTCGCCAAGGTAGACTTGGATGTACAGCATGGATTTTGCTGGCAGATTTTCCAAGACGTCTACCCCGCTGTCGAATTCCGACACCATCTGCAATCCCACGTTTTGCGTCCCGGGTTTGCTCGACAGCATGTTGGTTACTATTTGCCTCAACGTGCTGACGATCACGCTGCGTTTTTGCGTAGGGACGTAAGCCACTAGCAGCGTTCCGTTGTTCACGACTCTCGTCAGGTAGTGTTCTTTGTTGTCCGTGAGAACGTGGGGAGAGTCGAGCGTGATGTTGAGATTCCAGTCGATTTGGGATGGCACTAATACCCATTTGTTGTCGACGTTGAAGATGAGAGTGTACTGTGTGTTTCTGGAGACGGCCGTGGTCTCGACGTCGTCCAGGTGGAACAGCCTGCCGCGGAAGGCTGGGGTTATCATCCATTCGTCCTCGTCATTGCGTATCAGGTCGTACTGCGTGTTGTTGACTGCCCCTTCGTTATCGACGAAATCGCCTAGGTCGTTGCCGCCACCACCACCAGCGGCAGTAGAGGGCGGCAGTTAGATGCGTTTGTAAATGAATGCACAGTTTGCGATACAGAACGAGATCGGGTAATTTCATGCCTGTCACGGTAGTTTCCAGTGGTATGTCGTTCGACGTAAACCCGAGTCTCAAGTCGTTTTCTCGTTGTTGGATAACATGACCATGCCGTTCGAGTCGATCATTTTGAGTTCAGCTCCTACGGGTTTGAAGATTTTTTCATTAAGCGAGCACACGCTGTAGTATCCATCCGTTATTTGGTTGCGGACATTATTGCCGAACAGCCTGTTGTTTTTGCCGATGATGTTGGTCCATCGCGGGTAGTAGGTGATATCGCAGAGCGCGACTTCAAGCTGACCAGATGTGTTATCAATCGTGTGCAGCAGTTGAACGGACTCGCTGCTCGTGATTCCCGGAAGCGTCACGTACATTTTGAAAAAGTAGATATGTTTACTAAAATATATAACAATTCAAATATGTACAAACCGGGAGTGTTTTATTCTAAAAGTGATAATATAAGTGCTACCTATCTCACGCAACCGAGTATTGTGGTCGATGCAAAGGATTGTTTACATTTCATGGTTTGGTTGATCGACGCGTATAAAAATTATGGGTTTTCAGTCGCGAATGTGAAAATGGTACACGCTTGGTTCCACAATTGCAACCCGATGCAGTTCTGGCAGAATCAATTCAATTTTGCCGTGTGGTGCGCAACGACCGGGTGCGGCCTGAGGTTGAACGACACTCGACGTATTGCGCTGAGTCGGTCTGTATTCTCGTTTCATGTGTACTACCAGATCAGATGTATCCTGAAAGAAATCAGCACCCCGATTCCGCAGGACAAGGCGTGGAATGCCGTAAACAATCCATACGATCGACGTGCATACGAACGCGTTTGCGGTGAATTCGAACTAGATCCGAAGACGGTCGATTGGTGTTTGCCGGGTCCGAACCACGGTTTTGGCATTCCCATCGTTCACAACATGTCTCTCGTGGAAGCCAGCAAACAGCTAGTGAAAAATTGGGGTTACAAGTCGTATCATTACGTCAAGACGAACGAGTGGAACGACGATTACATGGCTTTCCACGACAGCAAGGATTACCGCGTTTGGAGGTTTGAGCAGGGACCCGCAGATGATTGGAAAATGTTCATCTACCGATCGAGCGCTATGAAAACGCACTGGAATACGCCCGTTCAAAAGTCGACTACGTGATTTGCGCGGGACTGTACATGGCTCCGAGCAACATGCGACTGAGGGTGCAACAACGAAATCGTCATCGCGACAGCTGATCAAAAGTTGGGTTTGAACCAGGACATCAATAACGCTAGTCGAGTCGTGTCTCAGTACGAAACGGGCATCGTGGCACCGACACCGGAAGTAGAAGTAGTAGCACCACCACGACAGCAGCAGCTGCTGCCTCCACATGTGCAGGTAGACAATCAGTGGCACGTTGATCGTAAAACGGCGATGGTGGTCGGCGGGATCGCGGTCGGACTGTGCCTCATTTGGTTAAAAATTCCTTAGCTGCGATGTACACCAGACCCGACAAGGTGACGATTAAAGCCCACAGGTTTTGACCGAGCCACATGAACGTTTTTCGACGAGAAGCCTAACAACCAGGAAACGATGCTGCCCAAGATGCCAGGCAGCGCTTCAGCAGCTTTGCTGGCCAGTTTAGCCAGGGCTTCGCCGAGAGATTTCAAATGTTTTTTTATCCAGTCTCTGACGTCGATGCCTGATGGGCTTGGTGGTGTTGGGCTTGGTGTACCACCGTCGCCTGTCAGCGACACGACCAGGGTTGATATGATGAAGCCCAAAGCCGTGAGAGCGCTGGCGATGGTAATTCCTTGTTCCCAGAACAGAATTCGGATTCTGTCAGCCAACGTGGTGTCCTCGTTCAAGACTCGGTTGATGGTTTCGCGCACACGGCTGATTTGCGATTGGAGGGCTTCCTGTTTGGAGGAAGCAGCTTCCAATCGGGTCCGTCTCTCGTCTTCCAGGTCGCGCAATCTTTTCTCGATGTTTTTCATGGCTTCGTTGTCGTTGTCCACCATCCTGAGTTTTCTTTCCTCGCGAGTGATGTGTCCATCGATTTCGTTCAGTTTACCTATGTTGTTCACGAGTTCTCCGCGCACGTTTTTCAAAGCTTCGTCTAGACCACGAAGTTCTCTAAGAGGAAATTCGAAACCAGGCAAGGGTTCGTTTGATATATTTTTTTGATTTCGTTCTACGCTTCTTTGACGCACTGGGGCACTTCTGCACCACCACCGAGTTTGGTCCTTCGGTGGAAGTTGTTTGGGTCATGCGCCGCCATAATCTAGCAGGTTAAGTTCCTCGCGTATCAGTTGATTTCCGCCACGGCGACTGGCTAGCGTCATCAGGGCGAACGGTTTTCTAGTGTGTTTGTTCATGAGATCGACCTCCGGATAAGCTTTCAATCGCAGTGTCCCTTCGTTGTCGATTTTGAACTTCGGATAGTCGCGACCCAATGGTTTGACGTAATTTTTATCATGCTTTAAAGCATCGTAATATTCGTCCACGGCCTGCTTTAAAGCTCGTTGCCCACGGTGTCCCCCATGAACGAGGTGTCCATTGCATCATCGTCCTCGTTCAGCTTGTATACGTCTAAATCGTCAATGTTTTTATATTAAACTTATTATATACATAGTTTCAATATATAAACAATGTCGCATTACGGACAAAAGCTAGATCCTTCCCGAAAATCGAGAGAGCCACTCGGTGTCAAAACTGTGTGTCAGTCGGTGACCATCACCAACAATCCTAGCACGATCAATCAAAACCAAACGCTGCTGGTTCGATTCCCCAACCTAGGCGCGAACGACGTCATTGTTCCCGGCACGACTCGACTGGCTTTTCACATCACGCTGGAGTCCATGAACGACAAACGCATGATTGTCAACAAGCTGGGTCGTGCCATCATCAAGAAAACCACCATCTAAATCAGCGGGAACGAGATTCGAACGAAGTCGCCAAAGCCTTTGAACGCATATACAAACGCAGTCGTTTGACATGGCCTACCGTATTGCAAGTCGATCCCGGATGCGAGTTCATGGGAGCCGTGGCGCAGCTGCTGGCCAAGCACAAAGTCCAAGTGAAACGAGGTATAGCAGGAGCTCACTGTAGCCAAGCCATCATCGAGAGATTCAATCGCACCCTAGCCGAACGCCTGTTCTCACACCAATACTCGCAGGATTTAACGGATCCCGGAAACAGAAACATAGAATGGGTCGTACGCTTACCGCAAGTGGTGGATGCCATCAACAACGAAGTCACCAGACTCGTGGGAAAGAGACCCGTCGAAGCCATCAAAATGAAATCTGTTAACAACACCAAATCGGCAGCAGCACGTCGCGATAAAACGGAGAAAACATTACCAGACTGTGTCAGTGTTAGATACTTGTACGAGCCTGGCGAATACAAAGGAGACAGCAGAAAACGCGCCACCGATCCGATATGGTCCATGAAAACGTACAACGTCGACCTGGTGGACATCAAAGACAGCGAACCGAACTTGTACTTCTTGAAAGACGGGCCGCCGAAAGCATTCGTCAGAGAGGAGTTGATGATCACACGTGTGCGTGCGTGTGTGTGTGTGTGTGTGTGCGTGCGTGCGTGCGTGCGTGCGTGCGTGCGTGCGTGTGTGTGTGTGAGAATCAAAGGCCTTGATTTTTCCCCACCGACCCCATGCTCATTTAAAAGTCAATATTTCAGAAACTATTCTACCGATTTTCGTCAAATTTTGCATGCAACTCAGTAATAGTATACACAATGGTGGTACGGGATTAGGGACTTCCCAAGGGCTCAATATTTTAAATTGAGCCTTTGGGGGACCTGGTCCCGTACCACCATTGTGTATACTACTTAAGGGTTTATGACTTTAACAAATATTTTACTACGCATGGAAAAACGTTTGAGGACAAGGAAACAATAAAAAAAATCTGTTTAAACCCACAGGACCATTTGAGCAGGGATTCCTAATGAAAAGGACTTTATGAGGAAACTGAATGGTCATACAGAATAGGCAAATGAACAAACACTACACAATCCAATTCTGAACATGAGTTTTAAAGATAATATTGTTTGTCGGAAGTAAAAATCACAATGAATGCCCGATATCAGAGCATGAACCTAGTAATGGTGTTATTTCTGTATTATGACAGGAGGTGACAGCTAACGAGGGGGTAGGCGGCTGTGGTAATCAGCTTCTGAAGTACATCACAAGAAACTATTCCAGGGATGCCTGCAAAATGGAGTGTGAGATGGATTTCATCGTCAGCATGTGCAACTGCAAGGACTTTACAAACCCAAGTGGCGATTTTGCATATTGCACACCCCAACAGTTCCTGGAATGTTATATCCCGGCTAAAGCTAAATATCTGCAGACAGATATTGGCTGTGAAGCTGGATGTCCTGAAGCATGCAGATACACCACGTTCACCACCCAACACTCCAGCTCTCCACTGACCAGGAACTACATCACTGCGTACACCAAGGCCAAGGGTAAGACTGAAGAGTATTGGAGGAGGAATCTCGCTATTCTGGAGATGTATCTGAGCTCTATGACCTACGAACACATTGAGAAACAGGTGGGGTATGAGATCTTGGACCTGTTTTGTGACATCGGCGGAGCACTGGGTCTGTTGCTTGGTGCCAGCCTGCTGACAGTGTTAGAAGTGTTTGACGTCTTATGTGTCACTGTCTTCTCGGCGGTATTTGAAAAGAACAAAGTTCATACGATTGACAGAGTAGACAACTCTTGATAAACCGTTGGTAAATGTAAATGCACAATGACATACGTTGACAGATACATTTGACAGCGTCAGTATCGACAGCTGATGTTCTGAAAAGGTTAAACTTGTCCTACCCTACTGGTTGCACATGCTATTCACACAATTTGCCTGTGGAAGTCAGTGCTCTTTGCCTGAAGCAGCGCTCCATTACTCCTGTCATGCAGGTCATTCAGATATGGCTGCATTCCTGTATTTGTGGGAAAACGTCCATATTAAAATACCTGTAACTACATTCTGTTTTTGTTATGATATTCTTCAATAGGTACAGGATAACGATAATTTACAACCAACGTAATGGGGTTCACCATGACATAGAGACACTGATGTGACAGTTGAACAACGTTATGTCGTTTGTATTACTATTTCATATAACACAGGAACAAATATATAAGACAGGTAAAGCACAAAGAGATGATAGCTGCTTGTAGGGTTTAAGCAAATGATCAATGTCATCGATTCATGTGAAACTGTGAATTTTCCAAAGCTGCTCACTAACCATTTTACTCAGTTCAGAGATCGTTAAATATTTCCCGTCGCCAGGGCAAAAACTCCTGTCATTTATAGCCAGATATAGTGTTGTCAATCTTTGTAATATCAAATTATTTAAGCTTGGTTGTTTTATAAGAAAGGCAAAAACCTGAAGCAAGTAGCCTAGTGGTTAAAGCGTTCGCTTCTCACGAGGAAGACCCAGGTTCGATTCCCCACACGGGTACAATGTGTGATGCCCATTTCTGGTGTCCCCCGCCGTGATATTGCTGGAATACTGCTAAAAGCGGCTTAAAACCATACTCACTCAGTCAGTCACCCACCAGAAATGGGTGTTCATCCAATGGGCTATAAGTGACTATGCAGAGCCAGGATACTGATCACTACCTAGATGATTTTATCCCTGCAGTGGTGGGATTGGGCACCTGTTCACGCTTTTCTCTAACTCCTCAATCAGCTGGAGACACACCAAAACCACTACTCCTAATGTTTTACGTTTCTTGGTCCTACCATAGACACTGCTAAAGGTAAAATAAGATAACTGCAAGACAAGATAACCCAACAAGTACAGCAACTGTCACAACTATTAGTAGACACCCAAACAGGGAACGCAAACCATATCACAAAATACGTACATCAGCAGGCATATGCTAGGAACTCAATCTCTGACTTCAGTTCCTCGACGGCTCACAACTGCACAACGTTATTCTTGGAGCATGAGTGGGCTTCCGCTCCACATCTGCAGCTATATATGGATGCGACGGGAAGCCAAGATTCTAAGGTTGCGTAGCATACTTTCAAGGCTTCTGGGCTAATGCTAGCTGGCCACCTTTATCAGGTAGGTCACCGAGCACATCCCGCTCCTACACCCTCAGCTTTATCTTCAATACATAGAAAAAATATTTTGTAAAGCATGTCTAATCACTTTTTAGTTCAGAAGGCCATCGCAGGAATGTCACAGCATCCATACACATGTTAACCTATTATGGTGGACTTATCAATAGGCATTCTGCAGCTCCTCACCACGGTACATAGGAACTCATATGAAGCTTCACTTTCCTCCGCAGTATCGACACCCTTATTCAGGACAGTGGCCCATGCAGGACAGTTATCATCATCCATGAGGGTCTAATGACCTGTTCGAGGTCCCGTCCAAGGAGATGTGCGACTCCTCCTATATAGGACTCCTATATATGTGCCTGCGCTGTCCAGCTGCCACCATCATTTGGTTTCCTCTTGCATCTTAATCTGTATGTGAAAACCTCTTTCACCAACTCCCCCCCCCCAAATCATAATCCTCTTTTAAATTGTGGATGGCAACTGTCACATTTCAGTCATTTGATATTGATACCAACGGAAAAGCGTATATATCTGGCAATCGGTTGATAACAAGTTTCAGGTACGATTTCCACTTACAGATTATGATGGCATACTATCAGCACAGCAGAATTGTAATCAAGCGTGTATGTCTATGAAGGAAAAGAAGGGAACAGTTCGGAAGACATTATACAAATGTTCCCCCACCCGCAAACCCTGTTCTCTCTCCATGATCACTTCCGTGCCCAACGACATTATAAATGCTCTCTCTCTCAGCTGATGATTTATTGACCGTTTCTGGGCAAATGCAGTGAGCTGTTAGCAAAGCCTTTACACAACAGCTACTAATGCATGTAATAAAAAAACCAATCATAATGTCAGCCATGAAGCAATTGGCGAAGTCAACATGATTATGTTATGTATTGAAGACAGCCCACAAGACACGCCATATATAACGGCACACATCCAAGGCTGAATAGTCGGCAGAGATGAGACGACCACATCCACTTTAGAAACGAAACGAAACCTTAATAATCGCCATCTTGACGAACCAATCTACTCTCTGGCAATGAGAGGCAACAAACCTTTACACGAGGTGGTGACTGTACAGGGATTATCTCAAATATGTAATGCCAATTCCAGTATCCCCAGACGGGTAATCTGGTTCCTCATCTTGTGTGGTGGACTCGGTTTCACCTCTTTCAACATCTGCAAGCAGATATCTCTATATCTGTCTGTCCCTGTCAACGTCAGAGTGGATCAAATCCTTGACAACACCCTTTCGTTCCCAACGATAACAATATGTAATAACAATATCCTTAGGGGTTCACTCATTGAGAATCTTGGATGGAGCGATGTGTTGCAAGTGGTGTATCCATATACTGATTTCGATGAACAGTTACCAAACGTCAGCATAAGTCAGTTGGACAACTCAAAGTTTTATCTCGGCAAACAAACAGTAGTGAACAGCACTTATGGCCACCTCAGGGAAAACACTATCATTAAGGTAGGTAGCTACAAACACTTGTGCATCGTAAAGGTGAGGCGAGGTGAAATTGGGTCTAACGTCGTGCTTGAGAATATTTCGCTCATATGACGACGCATCGTAAAGGAATAACATGAGTGAGTGAGTGAGTTTAGTTTTACGCCGCACTCAGCAATATTGCAGCTATATGGCGGCCGTCTGTAAATAATCGAGTCTGGACCAGAAAATCCAGTGATCAACAGCATGAACATCGATCTGTGCAAATGGGAACCGATGACATGTGTCAACCAAGTCAGCGAGCCTGACCACCCAATCCCGTTAGTCGCCTCTTACGACAGGCATGGGTTACTGAAGGTTCATTCTAACCCGGATCTTCACGGGTAATAACATGAGTAATAGTAAGTGCTAACGTGGTAATAATTAAATGGAAACTAGCCTTTTTATTGCTCCATGTATATATGCACAGAAATATGCTTGACACAATCCGCACAAAATGGAACAACATCCTGAAATGCAAAAATCATTTTGCACGATACCTTCAGGCCTGTTTGCATCTTTGAGATCTCTTAGTATTCAGATAATATTACCGTCTGTGTTGCACATGAAAGATCGATGAATTGCGGGATCGCTTGAGTATGCTATGTGCAATGTAGCTACAAGAACCGTGAGTACCAGAGATAGGGAATGCTTTCGTTCATAAAACAGACATTTTTATATTACTTGAATATGATTTAGACATCTCTCAAAGATAAATGTGACACAAAATAAATGCTAACCACATATGCTATTGCGATTACTTGATTAGAATACTCTACTTGTATATGGTTCTAATATTACAGCATGATATAGATATATAGTTTGCGATAATATAAATGTTTATCAAACAAAATCTGCATATGAGAAAGAAAGTCTTAACATATTGCTTTCCGGAATGCACAAAAAGCATACAGAGAAGTTTGTATAAACTATATGTTGATATGATTACACAATGCCATTTCGAAAGTGGTCAAATGTAACATATGTTATATTTGGGATTACACTTTCTTAGTAAAGTACAGATTCTAGTACTTTTTGAGTCCCATCCCAAATATAACATATGTTACATTTGGCGACTTTCTAAATGACATTGTGTAATCATAGCTTTCGGCCAATTTACACTTATCAGAGGGGTACACCAAGTCCGCAGTCTAGACTACCAGTTGTCATGCGCATGCGTGAGAGTGAGAGGTTGGTTGTTTTCTTCTGCTCTGCATTTATCAACGAAATTTGTATTTTAAAGGCAAGTTTGAACACTTTGATCTGGTCACAAGTGTTTATAGAGGTTTCAACTGTCCCGGGAATCATCAGATGAGAAAATTGAGCGAGACGTTTGTCCGATTGTTTGAAACGAAATGAATGTGGCCGCGGTAATGGCGGCGCCCAAGCTGACGACTGCTACACATCAATATGAAGATAGGAAACGACCCCTAGTGAATGAAAACAGGAATGTACAGGCAATCAGCAAGAAACAAAGAGGTGAGAGCATATCCTATGATAAAGACGAATCAGTTGTTGAAATTGACAAGTCAGCATGCTCAAAGTGTGAAAAGACTGTCGTTGATGTTCTTGCAGAAGATAGACTTAATGGAAGATAGAATCTTGGCTAAAATGAATTCACGATTTGAGAAGATGATGCACCGTCAGATCGGGATTGAAGAAAAGTTCACCGATGTAAACAATCGCGTGATCGAGCTGAGGGACGAACAGACGAACGTAAACAAACGGGTCCAGGATAAATTGACTGAACTTACATGTGCCCGTGATACTGTAGTTACTCAACACAACGCGACACACATGAATATTGTGATTAAAAACCTGGTGCAGTCGACCCGAGAAAATGTGCTAACTAGAGTTAACGGGCTCATCAGAGACGGTCTCAAATTAAGAGAGATTCCAGTAGCGAAGACGGAGAGGCGAGAATCTCTTAACCCAAGGTTCCCAGGGGTGATTATTGCCGAGTGTAAGTCGACTTTAGGAAGGCCTATGACGGAATAGATAGACAACTACTTTGGGAAAGATTGAAAGAAGTGGCGTCAACGGGAGGATGTTTGCAGCTATTCAGTCATTATATCAGCATGTCCAGTGTGCATTTCAAGTCAATCATTCACAGATGGCATGGTTCGATGTCAATATGGGGTTAAAA